TGCATCTATATTCATCAGCAGTATTGGCCTATAATTTTCCTTCTTTGTGTCGTCCTTGTCTGGATGTGGCATCAGGATGATGTTGGCCTCGTAGAATGAGTTAGGAAGCATTCTTTTTCAATTTTATGGAATAGTTTGAGAAAGATAAGTATTAAATCTTTGTTGCATGTTTGGTAGAATTCTCCAGAGAAGCCATCTGGTCCTGGATTTTTATTTTTTGGGAGGTTTTTATTACTGCTTCAGTCTCTTTACTTGTGATTGGTCTATTCAGATTCTCTGCTGCTTCTTGATTCAGTTTTGGAAGGTTGTATGAGTCTAAGAATTTATCCAATTCTTCAGGTTCTCCAATTTGTTGGTATATAGTTTTTCATAGTATTCTCTTATAATCCTGTGTATTTCTGTGGTATCCAGTGTAATTTCTCCTCTTTTATTTCTAATTTTATTTGTTTGAGCCTTCTCTCTTTTTTTCTTAGTGAGTCTGGCTAAGGGTTTGTCAATTTTGTTTACCCTCTCAAAGAACCAGGTCTTAGTTTCATTGATCCTTTCTACTGTTTTTTTGGTTTTGATTTCATTTATTTCTGCTCTAATTTTTGGTATTTCCCTCCTTCTGCTCACTTTGGGCTTCATTTGTTCTTCTTTTTCTAGTTCTCTTAGGTGTAGTTTAAGATTATTTATTTGAGATTTTTCTTGTTTGTTAAGGTGTGCCTGTATTGCTATGAATTTCCCTCTTAGAAATGCTTTTGCTGCATCCCATAAAAATTGGTATGATGTATTTTCATTTTCATTTGTCTAGATATCTTTGATTTCTCCTTTGATTTCTTCACTGATCCAGTAGTTGTTCATTAGCATGCTGTTTAGTCTTTACATATTTGTGACCTTCCCAGCTCTTTTCTTGTAGTTGATTTCTAGTTTCATAGCATTATGGTCAGAAAAGATGCTTGATATGATTTCAGTCTTCTTAAATTTGTTGAGGCTTGCCTTGTTTCCTAACATATGGTCTGTCTTTGAGAATGCTCCGTGTGCATTTGAGAAGAATGTGTTCCGTTGTTTTTGGATGGAGTGTTCTATATATCTCTGTTAAATCCATCTGGTCTAGTTTTTCGTCTAATTCCGTTATTTCCTTGCTGACTTTCTGTCTGGATGATCTATCCATTGATGTAAGTGGGATGTTTAGGTCTCCTACTATTATTGTGTTGCTGTTAATTTCTTCCTTTAGGTTTGTTAATAGTTTATGTACTTTGGTGCTCCTGTGTTGGTGCATATATATTCATAAGTGTCATGTCCTGTTGGTGGAGTGTCCCTTTTATCATTTTATACTGTCCCTCTTTGTCTCTCATTGCCTTTTTTATCTTGAAGTCTGCTTTGTCTAAGTATGGCAACACCTGCTTTCTTTTGTTTGCCATTAGCTTGGAGTATCATCTTCCATCCCTTCGCTCTGAGCCTGTGTTTGTCTTTAGAGCTGAGATGTGTTTCCTGGAGGCAGCATACTGTTGGGTCTTGTTTTTTAATCCATTCAGTCACTCTGTCTTTTGATTGGAGAATTCCACTTAAATTTAGAGGGATTATTGGTATATGAGGGCTGCCATTTTATCTCTTGTTTTCTGGTTGTTGTCTATTTCCCTTGTTTCTCTTCCTCTGTATTTCTTTTTCTTTTTTTCCTTCTTCTTCCCAAAACCCCCCAGTACATAGTTGTATATTCTTGTTGAGTTCCTCTGGCTGTGCTGTGTGTGATGTTGCCTGAGCATGGCCTGATGAGTGGTGCCATGTCCACGCCTGGGATCTGAACCAGTGGAACCCTCGGCCGGTGAAGCGGAGTGTGCAAACTTAACTACTTGGCCAGCAGGCTGGCCCTGGTTTTTTGTTTTTTGGGGGTTTTTTTTTGAAGAAGATTGGTCCTGAGCTAACATCTGTTGCCAATCTTCCTCTTTTTTGCTTGAGGAAGATTGTCGCTGAGCTAACATCTCTGCCAGTCTTACTCTATTTTATGTGTGATGCTGCCACAGCATGGCCTGACGTGCAGTGGTAGGTCTACACCCAGGATCTGAACCTGCGAACCGTAGGCTGCACAAGTGGAGTGTGCACAGTTAACCACTGTGCCACCAGGCCAGCCCCTCCTGTGTATCTCTGACTGCCATTTCAGTTTGGTGATTTTCTGTGATGGTTTGGTCAGTTTTCTCTTTATCATTTGTGTCTCTCTTCTGATTTTTTGTAGTGGTTACCATGAGGTTTGTATAACAGATCTTATAGATGAGATACTCTGTTTTCTGATAGTCTCTTATTACCATTAGCCTAATCAGGTTCCATCTCTTTCCTCCTCCCTGTCTAAATTATTGTTGTCACAAATTATTCAGTTTTGTGTTGTGAGTTTGTGATTAAAATGAAGTGTTTATAGTTTTGTTTTGTTTTTTTTTGCTGAGGTAGATTAGCCCTGAGCTAACATCTGTGCCAGTCTTCCTCCACTTTTTATATGTGGGTTTCCCTGACGGTGTGGGTTGCCAAAGCGGAGTGTGCCAAACTTAACCACTATGCCAAGGTGCCAGACCCCTGTTTTATAGTTATTTGTGATGCTTTCCTTCCCTTTATCTTTTTTTTTGCATAGATTGGCACCTGAGCTAACGACGGTTGCCAGTCTTGTTTTCTTTTTTCCTTCTTCTTCTCCCCAAAGCCCCCCAGTTTATAGTTGTGTATTCTAGTTGTGAGTGCCTCTGGTTGCGCTATGTGGGACACCGCCTCAACACAGCCTGATGAGCGGTGCTATGTCTGCATCCAGGATCCAAACCAGTGAAACCCTGAGCCGCCAAAGTGGAGCACATGAACTTAATCACTCGGCCTTGTGGCTGGCCCCCTTCCCTTTATCTTTAATGTTATAACTAAGTCTTCTGATAGAGAGCTGCAGCTTTCTGGTTTTGTCTGTCTATTTATCTCCTTGCTCAAAGCTTTGTAAACCCTTTCCTTTTAGTTTCAAGTATGAGGGCCTTCTTGATCATCTCTTGGGGGTGGGGAGTAGTCTTGTGGTGATGAACTCCCTCAGCTTTTGTTTATCGGGGAAAGTTTTTTATTTCTCCATCATATCTGAAGGATATTTTCACTGGATAGAGTATTCTTGGCTGAAAGTTTTTGTTCTTCAGTATTTTTAATATATCATTCCAGTCTCTCCTAGCCTGTAAGTTTTCTGCTGATAAATCCACTGAAAGCCTGATAGGGGTTTCTTTGTATGTTATTTTCTTCTGCCTTGCTACCCTTAGTATTTTTTCTGTCATTGACTTTTGCCGGTTTTACTACTATATGCCTTGGAGAAGGTCTTTTTGCGTTGATGTAGGTGGGAGTTCTGTTAGCTTCATTTACTTATAATTCCAGTTCCTTCCTCAGACATTCTCAGCTATTATTTTTTTGAACAAGTTCTCTGTTCCTTTCTCCCACTCTTCTTGCTCTGGAATACCTATAATCTTTACGTTGCATTTCCTAATTGAGTTGGATACTTTTCTGAGAATTTCTTAATTTTTTTTTCATCTTAGGTTCTCTCCCCTCCTCCACCTGAAGCATTTCTATATTTCTGTCCTCTAAATTACTAATTCTGTCATCCATAATGTCGACTCTGGTTTTTAAGGATCCTAGATTGCTTTTTATCTTACTCATTGTGTTCTTCATCTCTAGCATTTCTGTTTGGCTTTTTTAGAGTTTCATTCTCTTTTGTGAAGAACTCCTTGTGCTCAATAATTTTATTCCTGAGTTCATTGAACTGTTTTTCTGAGTTTTCTTGTAATTTGTTGAGTTTCTTTATGGTAACTATTTTGTATTCTCTGTCATTTAGATTGTAAATTTCTGTGTCATCAGGATTGGTTTCTCTCATTTTCCTTATGATCTGGAGTTTTGATGTATTTCTTCATGGGGTCTGATGGAGTGGACTTTTGCTGGTGCATAGTGGTAGTGTCTGGTTGTAGATTCTGCCTGCCACCACTTTGCGGGGGTGGGGGAGGGCGGGCAGGAGCTGTGTTTTCTGAAACTACCGTGTCCACTGGAAGCTGTGCTGGTAGGGCTTGTCTGTGTTTGCTGGCTACTACTGCTTGGTGGGTCCCACACACAGCTGCTGCAGATGCTCTGGTGCGGGTCTGCTGCCCCAAACGACTGGCTGAGCTGATGCGCTAGGTGGAGGGGGAGGAGACCAGTGCTTTTTTTCACATGTTCACACATGCTCTGCACTCAGTGGTGGCCCACCTGGGCTGCTGGGCTTGGTAGGAGCACACATGTGGTGACCTAGCCACCTTGGCATGGAGCATTCCCTTGGGCTGGGATGCAACTCTGAGAACACTCTGAAAGCGTTCATGTGGAGGCCTGCTTGCTACTCCGTCTCCTCCCAGGGTTGTGCACCGGCAGCTGTGTGAGGTCCTGCACTGCAGATCGCTCCTGCTGGGGATGGGGAGGAGATCCGCTTACTTACTTCCACTGCTTCCTGGGGATCCAGCATCCCCACCTTCAGACTTATGGCTGCCTGGATCTCTTAGACATCCTGTTATGTTTTGTGGGTGTCCTCTGTTGGCTAATGAATGTCCTTTTGATTGTATCTTAGTGGGGAGAGGCTGTGGGAACAGTTCACTCTGCCATGATGCTGACATCATTACCCCCCCAACTTTTTATTTAGAAGATCTTCAAACTTACAGAATAGTTAAAAGAATGATAGAATAGTACAGTCAACCCTCTTACACCCTTCATCTAGATTCACCAATTTAAAAAATTATGCAACATTTGCCTTTTCTGTCTTTGTTTATAAAAATGTTTCTTTCTGAACCATTTGAAAGTAAATGTCAGACATCATGATACTATACTCATAGAAATTTCAAAGCTGAAAAACTTTCACTCAGATAATGGTCTGTTAGCTTGTTGATTATCTTAGTAACCCAAACTGTAGTTATCTAGGTGGTACTGTCTAATGTACAGTGTTACCAAATGAAACTTCAGTTTTTATCGAATCTGTTTATGAAACTGTTAAACTGTTTTTCTAGTGACTCCAATGGGATCATGTAGCAATCGACCTCAGGAAATTGAAATTGGAGAATCTGGTTTTGCTCTGTTATTCCCTCAAATTGAAGGAGTGAAAATACAACCTTTTCATTTTATTAAGGATCCAAAGAATTTAACATTAGAAAGACATCAACTCACTGAAGTAGGTAAGTTACTGTTGTTTACCATTAATTGCCCATCTTGTTGATTGATTTTGTTTGTTCCTTTGAGAGTCTGAATTAAGTACACATGTTACTGGAGATGTGGATGAATTCAAACTAGTGATTAACAGAAGCTAGTGTGGTACATTTTTGGTAGAATTGATTTACTTTATAAATTATTTTACTTACATCAAAGCTTGAGAGAACCAGAGAAGAATATTTTTCCTTGACTATTCTGTTGACAATAAAGTCATTTGTGTTTAATTCTTAATTTTGAATCACTTCTTCGAATGTTTTCTTATCATTTTTCCCTATTTTTGTTTTTTGAAGCTGAAAAGTTTTTTAAAGCTTTTATTTCCTTTTTACATCAGCGATAAGCATTTATTATAAAACAATTTTTTTAGAAGATACAGGTTAGTTATATGTTGACTAATTTGAAAGATGGGAATGAGTATAGTGAACTTGGTGATAAGTTCTAGGAATGGTATAAATTAAAGCAGAGTATATTAAAAGTCTATTAAAGGTTTACTAGGACATGCCAGAAAGAAGCAGCTTGGCTAGAGTAGACAGGTCATGAGAGGTTGGCTTAGTTTCTAAGCTCTGATAAGAAAGCTTAATTTAATACGGTAAGCAACAAACTAGTTACTCACAGCAGTCTATCTTTATCTACATCTGCAATTGAACTAATTGGGGTTAACTCATGAAAAAAGTCACTGTTGGCATAAAAAATATTCAGTGGTGACCTCTTGTTTTTGCATAGATCAGCCAACCTGTAGAGATAAAGTGAACTCATCGGGAATAAAAAATGCTATAGCAGAAAAGGGAAAATTTGTGATTGGTTTACTGATTAGAGGGAAAAAAAGGAGTATACAGGTTGAAACTGGCGTATACATCTGCTCCTTATAATGCAATAAAAGAGTGAGATGGGAGGGAAAGCACAGAGCAGGAGTAGGCATTGGTGGCAAAAACTGGCAGCCACGAGCAGCAGGCCTCTTGATGATGTGGAAGAGCGTGGGCAGGTACAGGTAGAGCATGGCAGGTTTCACAGTCAGTCTGTCGTGCGAGGCAGGAAGTGTGGCTATTACGAATGCAGGCTTGTAGCTGCCCTAGTTCTGCTGCTTTCTAACTTTGTAGTTTAGGACAAGTTCCTTTTCTGAGCATGTTTTCTCATCTATAAAGTAGAAATAACTAACTTACAGAGTTGTGAGCATTACATGAAATGGCTTATGTAAAGCACTTAGCAAAGTACCTTCCTCAGTAGATGGTAGGCAGATGGCTAATGCTGGCCTCTGTACCTTAGGCAGGCTTCACAGTGGCTCACTGGGCTGATCTCTCTGCAGCGTGGCCTTGTGGTCTGTGGAGGAATAGACTGAGGGAGGGTTGATATGTAGCTCAGGAAGGACATTCAGTGGAAAGGCAGTGAAGGTCTTGGGTGTTCTTATCCCACTCAGCAGTAGCACACCAGAGGAGCATGCACATGCCTTTGCTGATGGTGACAGTTAATGATGGCTAACATTTGCTGAGACCTTCTAAGCAGGGTACTGTGCTATGTGCTATTTCTAATCTTCACCATAGGTATGCCAGGGAGAACTTACCAAGGTATATTGTTGATGAGGAAGCTAAACTCTGATGGAAGTAGAGAGCTAAGGCTCTGAGTTCAGAGTACACAAACAGAAAACCAGAGTTAGCTGTCTTGTTAAAGCTGCCCCAAATCAAGGATGCTACACTTCCTCTAAGGAAAACTTCAGATGATGCCTTTTAAACTGACCCAGTGTTAAGTGTAAAGGCAAAAAAAATTTTAGGAGAAAATGTGGCTGTGTAGCCAAGCCAGAGTGACTTTGTCATATCATAATGAGATGTGATGGTGGAAGGCTAGCTGGAGCTAAAAGAAAGTTCAGCAAACTGGATAGCTCTCTTTTAGAATTGGTCAATTGGTTAGAAAATAGCAGATCTGAAACTCAAGGAGGAGTTGAGGCCAGAGATGTTAGTTTGAGAGCCATTTGCACATTGCCTTGCAGTCTGTCTGTAAAAGTGTCAACTGCCATTGAAGGCTTTGGAGAAAGCCAGTCCAGGGCAGCTAACTAAAGATTCTGGAAAAGATTCTGGAAAGGATTCCAGCAGCAAAGAAGGAAGAGGAGGAGATATGAATTGATGCTGACAAGAGGATGGCTATGTTCATTGGGTTCATGATACAGAAATTATACATTAATTTCATTCATCTTATTAAAAGGTCCCATAGGGTAAGAAAAATTAATTGCATGCAGATTTTGTCTCAGTGACATTCTAGCACGGGTGTGACAGATACATATGTAATTTTAACCCAAGTGAGAAAGTGAGATGTGCCCTAAGAGAGGTATGGGTAAATTGCTGTAGGGGTTCTGCTGGCCACAGGGAGAACGAGGAGGAGCAAGGCGGAGCAAGGCGCCTTCATGGAGCAAGTTGCATTTGTGGCTTTGAAGGATGAGAAGTATATGCGAGATAAGGATGAGTAACAGGATGGGCTGAAGGATTAGCAGAAAAACAGGCGCAGGGCCAGGTGATCAGTAGGGGAAATAGTAAAGAGTTAAGTTTTGCAACCAAAGGGTCTGTGAAGGGGATCATGGGAACAAAGGGTGGCTGCAGTGGGGCAAGGCTCGAGTGTAGTCAGTAAATGACAGGCTCTTCAGAGATGTCATTTGGGTAGTAGCGAATGTGACCCTCCATAGTGGGGAGATACTGGAAGCAGCGAGACCAGTTAGGAGCTCCCTGTAAGAGTCTAGGCAAGAAATAATACCAGGGTGTGAAGAGTGGGGAACTGATTGGAGAAAATTAGCAAATGACTAGATGTGAAAGAGAAGGGAGACTGAGGACTCAGTGATAACTCTGAGTTTTGAGCTGAGGACAGAAATAGTTGGAATGCTGAGACAGGAGGAACAGGATTGGGAAAAATCAAACTCCATTCGAGAAGCTTGTTTGGCCTTTGATTCAGTACTTTTGCTGAAGGTCATATGGCCAAACCTCTGTGCTGTCTTTCTTATCTGGAAGTGAGTCTGGTGCCTCTTGGGCGTCCTCTCTCCTCTGTCCTGTAGCTCCTTGGGAATCAGTGACTGAGGCCCTGACTGAAGGTAGATGCCTAGTTTTGTCAGTTTACAAGAAAAAAAACCAAATGTTGAGCAGAAGAAACCATCCATTCTGTGATAAAATATTTATTAGATTTGTTAGACCTTGTTTGCATTACAGAGCTAAGTATAGGAATTAGAAAACTAAAAGGAAAAACAGCCCCATGTTTATTCTGCTCTGTGAAGTGTTCTTATTGGTGTCCTTTCCTGAGCTGTTTGCTGTCCACAGTTTTGGCTTAATTCCATTTCCATCCTGTTCATGGCCTTCTGGACGTTGAAGCTTCGCCTAGATTGAGATGACAATCTCTGTTCTTTCACATGCTATTTTGTGTCCTGATTTTCTGTATTTCTAAATTTGGACCATTGTCTTTTATGTGCTCAAGAAGATGGAGGAATTTTAGGCAGGCGAGGAGTGAGTGGTTGGAGGCTATGGTATGGAACGTGCCTTCTACACAAGAATCCCAGCCTATATTCCCCAAACAAATATCCGGAGCAACTTTTCTCTATGTTCTGTAACATTGGAAATCACCCTATTTGTGGTAATATTCCTCAGGGGTCAGCAAACTTTTTCTGGGGCCAGATAGTAAATATTTTAAGTTTTGCCAGCCATACAGTCTCAGTTGCATCTGTTCAGCCCTGTCATTGGAGTGCAAAGCAGCTGTAGACAATACATAAACCCTCAGCTGTGTTCTGATAAAACTTTATTTACAAAAGTAGGGGGCTGGATCTGGCCCGTGGACTGTGGTTTGTCTTCCCCTGTCTTAGAGCGCTAAGTCACAGTGACTGGAAGATCATATGTGAAAGCCCACAGTAAGCAAACACAGCAGCTTAGTTCTCCTATGAAACTGGCAGTACCTCTGAAGATAGGGACCTTGTGTTTGATAATTATAGTTTTCTAAACGTTGTATATAGGAAGTGTCATGATCTGACCCAGCATTATAGCACATATAATTTTATACACATACACACACTTTGTTATTACCAAAATGGTGCATTTTTTAAATGAGGCATATGTTGTTCTAAGGTCTTTTTGGTATCCTGTGTTAAAAATAGTCTCTGGAATGAAAAACAAAAATGGATAGGCCAGCACTTAATTTCTAAGGAGTGAAGGCAAAAATACCTCAGCAAAGTTTCTTAAAAAGCCAGTGTTGGTTTGTTCAGAAACTGCGTACATGCCATAGGCTGGTCCCTGGATGGGGCTCTAGCTACGTGTTGTTGGAGAGGACTCTGTTCCTGCCTCCTGGAGCTCCCCATCCAGCAGGATGGGCTGACTTTGAATTAAGTCTCGCAGATGTGCTAAGAGTTACCAGGAGAAGCACAGAGATGCTAGAAAACATAACCACGGGGCAAGGTCCCTCGGATGTGGAGAAGGGAGGAGTATTATAGGAGGTCTTTACCGTCTCTCCAAGTTACTGACAAAAATAGAGTGAGGTGGCCAAGAGATTGAAGGACAGGAAAAAGAAGGGCCTGATTACTCACCTTCAAGATTTGAGTGTTGTGGATTCACATGCTCATTTGTGAAGCCTAGAGAATTCCACTGTGTCGAGGAGCGGGGAGTGTGATGTCCCATGAAGCTGGAGAAGCAGGTTGGGGCCAGATCGTGCCTCGTAGGACATACTAAGGAATCTTACATATTTAAGGGCAGCAGGAAGCCAGGATTCTAAACAAAAAAGTGGCATAATCAGGTAGGTCTTCTGAAAATACCCCTCTGGCTGCGGTATGTTGATGGGTTTGGAGGAATACAAGAGTGGATGCAGGAAAAACAGGAGGCTGTTGTAGAGGTTAAGGCAAGAAGAGGTGACAAGTGGAATCACAGATTTTGAGGTGGAATCAACAGGATGTGGTGACTGATTAAAATGTTGGGTGTTGAGAATAAGGGAGGTGGTAGTGATGTCATCCAGGTTTCTG